CGGGAGGCCAGGCAGCGCATCCCTTGAAAAGGCCAGCACTGCGAGTGAAGGTCTCTCCTTCTCTCCTCTTCCAGCCCTGGGGAGGTGGTACAAAGTCAACAGGGAGCCCAGAGTGGGGAGCGGGGAGCAGGAAGGATGGCGCTGATCGCAGGCCAGATCATCAGTCTTGACTGACCAAGAGTTGTGTCTATTTGTCATGCAAACATTTGGCCTAAAATCAGCTGCCAATCAGTTTCATAATATCCAAGGGTATCTCAATTACTCAAGAGCTCTTATGAAATTCTCAAAATAAAATGAGTTTAAAGTCACTTTCATTCAAAAAAAAAATAAAGGCGTGGTATGCCTTACAAGATAGCCTGTCAAAATATCAAGCAAATGACAACTGGCATTAAAAAATCCTAAAGAAACTGGCTTGAGGCTGAAAATTGAGAAGCAAACTCATTTTCACTTTGAGTCCAGCTAATTTGGAAAATTACTAATATTTGGCAAAAGAATTCAGCAAGTGTCCAAAATACTGAGGGGAACTGAACTGTGATCCATCCTCCAGGTGGGAAAGAATAAAAAGAAATCCTGAAACTTTTTGTTAAAAGATTGAATTACAAAATGAGGGGAAGAAAAGAAATGCAGCTGCTGGGACAGATTTGAATTTCAGTTAAGTGTTTGATTCCAACATCAGGCAATTTTCATCGAAAACATGAATTATCAGCCGCTGAGAAAGAACAAGAGAGGACATGAGAAGAGGCCAAGAAAGGAAGTGGGAAGAAAGAGCAGGGAAGCTAAGGAGGCTGTGCTCACACCCTGGGGGCTCGCTCCTCTGCTGGGGCAGGGGCCCCCTCTGGCTCTCGCTGTCCTCACTAAAACAAGCCTGGGCTTGAGGGTTTCAGGAGGGAACTGCCTGCCTTCCAGGCAGTGATGGGACCTCCCAACTCCAGAAGAGGTGGTTGGCTTCTGGCTAGTTTTTCAGGAGTGTTGATGGTGACAGGCTGATCTCTGAGCATTCTTTGGCCAGGTCTCCATCTGCAGCCAACGGCATGCCCTTCAGGGTGGCTGGGGCAAGGTTTCGGTCAGTGTCATGCCTGGTGACCCTGGAGGCACGCCCACAGCACAGGCACCAAGACCTCATGCCGTGAGCTCCCCAGTTCCCCAAGGCAGTGGCTCACCCAGAGCCACACAGCTAGTTAGCAGCACAGCCCGACAGGAACCCAGGTCTCCCAACCACAACCCCCAATGTACAGCCTTCCTGTGTCTTCTTCAGCAGTGGGGCAGCAGAGGGAGTCAAGCCATGGGTGGAGCTGGATGCTGCGGCAGACACTGGATGAGGTCTATGAACCTAGGGAGATGAGGTTCTTTGACGTGTCAGGGGTGGCTTCTTAAGGGCATGGAAAGGAAAAAACAAAAGCAAGTTTATACTCATAGGGAAACATAATCTGTGATTATAAATATTTCATGAGCAAAGAAAGCGGTACTGGCTGAGAGACTGGGGTGGGGAGGGTGGACAGCAAATTAGATTCCAGTTTGCAAAGTGATAGGGCAGCTGGGAAAGCAGCAGAGCTGAGGCTATTCTGGGCTGTGTGCTGCGAGGGCCTGCGTCACAGTCGGGGAGCGGGCCCCGGCCCCCCGGCCCATGGAAACCACAGCCTTCCAGCAGTCGGCGCAGAACACCTTGAGAGGAGTGTTTAAGCCCACGGAAGACCGGAGGAGGGATGGAGAGGACAGTCATTTGAATGACTCGGGCAAACCTCAACAGCAGGGAGGCTGGAGAGGGGCTGGAGCAGGTCAGCTAGTGCCCTGCAAACCCGTGAGAGGATGGACGCACGTTCTGCTGACTAAGGGCAGGGAAGAAGTGAGCCGACCCCGGAAGGCAAGCTCCCTGCAAAACTGGAGGGCAGCTCTGGTCCAGCTGCCCGACCCAGAGCAAAGGCCATGCCCTGAGCAGGTGGTGCCAGGCTGAGAATGACAGTCCCACCTTTCTTTTCCCTCAGGGCAGGGGTCTCTTCCTCCTGCAGCCTTTGGGAAACAGCCCAGAAAGCAGAGGAGTTAAGAGCTTGCTGAGTACCAGCTGCTGCAGCAGGAGAGATACTCCCCACCGGCAAAGCAGGACCCGGTGTGGGTGATTCCTCCTCCAGGTCTATGAACCCAGGGAGATGACCCAGGGTCAGCTGCTGCAGCAGAGCACGTCAGCCAGTCTGCCAGCCCTTCTGGGAGGCCAGCTGAAGAGTGATGCTAGCTCCTAAAACACGCAGAGGCACCTTGAATCTGGCTTAGTCAGAGGAGCACTGGGGAAGTCGGAAAACTAAGAGCCTTTGCTTCCTAGCTGTCAGGGATTGGCTGGCGAGGCGCCAAGTGTCCCCACTGAATTTGGGGAAACCAGACTGTTACCCTCTAGAATTACAGCCAGTGAGAATCAGCTCAAGATGGAGAGAACTCGTCAATCACAAAAATAAGACCCCAGGGCGTTGTGGGAAGTCAGCAGAAGTCAGTTGGGACTGAGCTGAAGTCACAGGAGCTGGCTTTAAGGCCAGCTTGACCACCTATTAGTAGCAGGACCCTGGGAAATAATGTTCCCTCTGAAGCTTAGTGTCCTCGTGTAAAACACGGGACCAGCGCCCACCAAGCCCAAGGACTGCAAGGAACACCGAGAATACGTATAAATAAATGCTTTCAAAATAGACACTAAGCACTATTCCAATTTAAGCAATTATTTATACCCAGCTATGTACTCGACATCGCTTGTTTGGACGTCTCAAGGACACCTCCATTCAGGTGCCCAGCTGCTCCTCTCCCCATCTCGGGCCTCTGCTAGACACCCAGGACCAACCATCCAAGCACAAGAGCCAGACACCCGGGACCCACTCTTGGCCCTTCCCCACCATCCCAATGCATTACCAAGCCCAGTCAAATGCACCCCCTAAAGGCTTCTGCCCTCCTCCTCCACCACACCACCCAAATCCAACAGGTCATCATGCAAAGCCTACACTCATCCACTCTGGCCTCCCTTAGCCCCTCTCAACAGAGTCAGTCTAGCTGTATCTCCCCTTCCACCACTCTAACCCTGCTTGCTAAATACTCTGTAACAGTGTCCCAGTGCCCTCAGAATAAGGAAACTTTCCCAGGCTTACAAGGCCCTGCATGGCGGGCCCCGCCTCTTCCAGCCCCAGCCTACACACCTCCTCCTGCTCACCCTGCTCCAGCCACAACTGGCTTTTCCTTTGAGTCCCTGGGATTTACCCCATTCCCTCCTGCCACAGAGTTTCTGCACATGCTCTTCCCTCCGCCTGGGACATTTTCCCCTCCTCTCTCACCTAGCTATTGCCTGTCCATTTATTTTTACTAAGGTATGAAGGACATACAGTGAACAAAAGTATATAGCACAATAATTATTTACAGATGTATATACACTCATGTGACTCCCACCTAGACCCAGA